TTATCCAATGTTGAATACGAGACCTGAATACTTTAAGCTCCGACCGCACAGATTGCCTTGATCTGATATGTCAAAACATTTAAACTTCCATTAAATAGATTGAATGCTATTCGGAATGCCCTCTTCTGAATTCTGGAAACTGTCAAGCTATCCATATATATTAATGATTATGCTCTTTCCGAACGTCTAACCCCTCCACAACAGAAAAAAGGACCAAACACTCATCAGTAGTAGTTAGTAGTATTTCAAATGTGACCATTTTACGTGACGCAATACGTGCATAAACGGTCAGAAGCAATGGCGGCAAATAGCTCCTCTATTGCTGAATAAAAATTTTGACTCGAATACAAGGTGTCACATCTACGTAGCTTGTCTCCGGCCAGTTCTGATAAACTGCTCTGAGCCCATGGCCCAGACCAAAACAAAATCCAGCCCTCTTAAGAGGGTTGATCAGAAAGCTCAGCGTATGATTACAGGGGTTATTTTTTGAGACATGGCTTCTAGCGAAGCAGTAATTAAAACGACAGGTCTTGTTCATCTTGTTGAGAAAACTTCAAAGCAAAGCCTCGAAGTTCCAATGAAGCGATTACAACAATAAATCATAAAGAGGCTAAATAACACAGGCGAAGCTGAGCTTCGCACCACTTGCGACACACAAGAAGAAAATTAACAACACCTAAAATGTCAAAAAACTAGATCTATCGAAATGAATCAGAGTAAAATTGAAACCAAAAACATTCCAAGACAAAAGAATGAAAAATAAGCATCGGAAGATAATTTACCCAGTATAGCAAATCCATAATACCTTGTCCAAAACCTTTTAAGCCGAAAAAACAGTCAACAAGACAAAGATTTATGATAAGTCCCGCTCACCCTCGAAACACATAAATACTCGAAAAACTTTATTTAGTAGTCAAATGAAACAAAATGAGGCAACTATGCCCACATAAGGTAGGCCTAAACCTATTCAGCCTAGAAGAAGTAAAAGACTAAAAAAATCAAAAAAAAACTTCAGACTTTTAATAAGAAAATATTAAGTCCCCATCACACTCGCAACACAGAAAATCACAAAAAAAACTTTTTCAGCTCGTCGAAACCAGCAAAATGAGGACAATTAGCCGGTTTGATGAAGACCGAAAACTAACAAGCAGAAAAAAAAAGAAAAAGCCGAAAAAAATTGTAGTGTCATGAAAGACTTGAACTATATTTTCTATTACGATTTTTAGATATTTTTGCGATCCAGAGGTGAACATAAAAAACATAATTACGTTGAAACGACTGAAATTAGGCCTTTAAGACAAAAAAAAATTGGCCGAAATCATTTGGACAGAATAGAGTTTTCAAGCAAAAAAATAACTTAAGGTCAAGGCTAAAAAAATTACAACACAGAGGCGAAGTTGCACTTCGCATACACAAGCAAAAACATGACCAATAACGCTACTGGGAAAAACTGAATGAGTAAAACTTTGAGTCTACAAAATTTCTTAAGTGACGCATGCCAATTATGACGCATTAGCAGTACCAGTCATTTTGAAAAAAAAGAGAAATTTACCAACTAACATGCCTCAATGTATAGAGCAGTCTATGGAGCAGTAATAACATGAAAAAAAAATAATTTTTTTTTTAATCTAAGACTTTTTTTTTTTGTAAAAATCATCCCCCCTACGCCATATTAAGAACAAAGTGTAAATTTCGCTCCTAGTAACAAATCAATTGAAGCAAACAAGCTTCCTTCAACCAATTTGGAATGATTTCTATGACGGATTAAATCTCCGCTCACGCGTTAATAGCGCGAAATATATCGCGCGTTAATTGTCCCAAAATGACCAAAAAGATAATTTTAAATCCCCATAACTTAACAAAAAATGATCACATATTAAAAATCTTTCCAAATTTAGGCTCAGGACCACAATGCTTTTCGAAAGATTTTTTTTAAAAAGCCCGTCAAAAATGGCATGTTAAAAAGACGAAATTTGTCAGAAGAAAAAAACTATCCCGAGCACAAATATTCCGTTAATTTCGTTACGAAAGTCGGAACAAGAATAATCTGTGTTAAAATCCGTAAGCATTTGATGTACTTAATAGCTGGTCATTGATAAAAAAATAGGATCATTGATTGGAAAAAAAAGATAGTGTATACTATAACACAAGCATGCTTGTGTAAACAGCAGAGGTAACTCAGAACATTGGAAGCAACTTTGATGTAAAAAAACATGAAACAATTATTTCTACAATATGGCAGCCAAGCCGAAAGCAAACAAAAATAAGCCGACAAGTTATTATTGAACGGACTATTTCTCGTTTGCAAAAAAAAAAACAAAGTCCTGTCAGATTCGAACCCAGGCAAAGGAAGGTCAAATTAATTATGAACTGAACCTAAATTTACCATTTCTAAATTTGACCATTCTGTGAACAAAGTTATTTACGGGAAAAAGTCTAGTACCAGATTGTAATACCCTTGCTTATCGCAAAGGTAATGAATTTTAAAAAAAAACCTACATTGTCTCACTTAAGCGCCATTTACATTGCCTGCCTCTAAGATAACTGAGTACGCGGTCGTTTTTTAATGCAAAATCAGGTACCATAAAAGTGATTACAGACAAGTTCGAGTGATATTTCAGATGAGTGCTTTTCCACAATCGAGAAGCCCTCAAAGTTTTTTGATTCTTATGCAATCAAGAATAAACATAGCCAAGAGAAGTTGAGGCAAAAAGCGAAGAAGTAACTTTAAGGAGAAACAACTGCCCTACAGACACGTGCTACTTAAACTTAAAAGCCGAACACTAGCCATTCATAAGAATACAAACACATGCAATTAAAATTCTAGTACTATGCAACAAGAAGCCACCAAAATTAACACTGTTAATTGAGATTTGAACCCAAAAAATGTGGTTTTGTAAAAATAACTCAATGCTCTCAAGATTGGTTGGGTAAAAATGCATTAATACCGAATAGAATGTAGCGATTAATCGCTTTAATAAAGCCAATCTAACATAAACCCTTGAATCGCCAAATAACTATTCAGCATTATATTTACTCTCGAATTAAATACGAAAAAAGAAACCAAGCCAAATGACAGTTGGAGAAGAGTAATGAAGGCAAAGAAGAACTTACTTTAAAGATGATTTATTTTAGACACTTTTTTAATAAAATCGCCCCAATTTGAGAAAACTGGGTAAATAAAAGAGGTAAGCTTTTATTCCGCTGGGAAATTTACAATGCGAAGTTGTTCAGGTTTGTCGCGCAGCTTCCACGTTTGTTCTTGTAGGGCACATTTAACCTTTCTTTAACATTTGAAGGCTTTTGAACCGCTAATAATCAATTTGAGCAAGAACAAAATTTCAGCTTTTTCCTGAAAATATAACGAAACGAAATCAGCTCGACCTATAAACGTGTCTTCACTACGTTCAATCAGACTTAAAACCTATTTTCCCACTATAAAACAAGATGCAACTATTGGAACATAGCCAACAGACAGTTGAAAAAGATTCAACACAGAGGCGAAGCTGCTCTTCACAAACACTTGCGAGAACACGACCAAAAAGCAGCTCTATCAAGTGATATAAGAAAAAGTAGAAATAAGCCTCGAATTCGCAAAAATCTGCGACCTAGCAAATTTGAGTCTCACGCACTAACCATTCAGCCACGGATGCTTAAAATCCCAAAAATTAGCCCCCAATAACGCAGCTACATATGCTAATAAAATGCCAATTCGATGCAGCAAAAGTAGCATCAAATAAAAAAAGATATAAATTTGCATGTAATAAATCGCAAATCAATAAAGCCGCATTCTGTAAAATTTGAGCATTTCAAAAAAACTGCTAGATACATTGGGTTAGAAAATTTCTGAAATCGAGATTTTATTATGTTGTTTGAAACATATAGCTTTTTTTGGTTCACTAGATGAATTAAAAATGCATCAACTGTGTAAATTTATAACTATTCGAATCTCAAAGCACATAATATCAATAAGCTGTAAAGGTGCAACATAATATCAAAGGTGTAACAAATCATCAAAATATTTTCATGCCAATGCGATGCAGCAAAAAAAGGTTGCTTTAAGTCGCAGCAATAATTGCGTCTTAGTCGCAGCAAAAATCGCAGCAATATTTGCGACTTAGGTTGGAAAAAAACGAAAGTTCGTACTATCACACTTTGCTTCGCAAGTCTAATGAACGCAAGTAAAAAGAAAACGAATACTGGTTCATTCTTTAAAAAATCTCAACTTTCATATTTCAATTTTAAAAAGTATGTCCTTAAAGCTCTTTGAATTTCTAGAACAATTAAATATTGACACTTTCTTCGATGAGATAAACCTACTTTGAGAAATATGGATCAATAGGTAAAGTTTTATTTTGCCGGGATATCTAATAGTTTAATTCCACTTTTGAAAATAGAATTCGATCTCGTTTTTCGTGACCTTTACACTTTTGCTGTTCGATAGTGGAGTTTGTCTTCCTTTTAACAGTAGAAATGCACTGAACTTAAAAATGAACTTAAACAGAAATCACAAGTTAAACTGCGAAAAATCAAAATTCAGCGTCAACAAATTTTATCCAGAAAAAAAAACGAACAAAGTTATAACGACCTTTATATCACGATTACGTTCATCAATTTTTAAAAATGAAAAAACAATTATTGGAAAATACAATTATGAAAAATACAATAGCACAGTTGGCTTTGATACAATGCTTCTGTAGAATGATACTCGTTTGATTCCGCGACAGTGGTGTCGACCCATGCACGACACCCTGCCTACATTAGTCAATGTATTTAGAGAACAACTAATGTTTGAATGTTTGAAACGTTTTAAATGTATGGTGTTTAAAAACTGTTTTTGCAATCCAGCAATGAACTTAATTCGGTGTTTTTTAGATATTCTTGTTCAATTTAAAGGAAAGTGTTTCGTAGAAAAATGACAAAACTGATGCCTAGAGACGGGGTGACATGAGCCCATAATCTCTTATTCATTTCTTATATTTTTAGGAGACTGTTCTTACCAGATGTTCCTCGTGAATCTGTTCACTGCCCAGTGAGAACCAGTTGATAGGATCGAATCTTCCGTCCTCGATTGGGGACACTCGAAACAGACACCTATGATAAAATTGCGCCTCCAAACTCATCCTCGGAGACACTGTTGGGCCAGTGACCTCATCTCCTCCCCCCTCCCCCTCCTCCTCCTCCTCTTTCCTGACCCCTTCTACTTCTACTGTCATTGTGACGTCATTAGAAGCTTCTTTATTACACTCCGAGGCGTCGGAGATTTCGTTGTTCAAGTATGCGATGAGTGACTTCAAAGTGTCCTCTGTAGAGCCACTCATGGTGCCGCCCTCTTTCTGTGAGAAAAAAGCGGGATCATTTCTTTTCCTCATTTGGGAGATTATTATATTGATTTGGACTTGTTCAGTTATAAAATGTAGGTTGCTTTCTTTTTTTACGAGAACAAATCTGGGTCTATTCGCCTCACCACTTCCTTTCAAGTCAAAGCAAAACACTAACAGAATGAAATAGCGTTTTGCAAACTAAGTGTTCCACTACATGAGGACCACTATGATGGTTTCGAAGAAAAAACATCGCTACCTCTTTAAATGCATTCACTACAATAATTGTGAATTAAACAACAGCTTCCACCTTGTGATATAACTTAAAGCACAAACATAACCAACAGGCAATTGAAAAAGAAATCAACAACGAAAAAAAATACTAACGATAAAAAGATATTTGAAAAAGGTACAATTTCGAACTTCAGAGAAAAAATACATGGGAATATTTCACGGAACTTACTGAAAATTTTTGAAATGGAGTTTTTATTATTGTACTGTTGTATGAAACAAATAGCTTCGGTCGAATCATTTGATTAATTAATCTGCTAGTGGGAAAAAATGGCAGTGTATTATGATACTACGCTCCTCCGCTTGTACAACCAAGCAATAACTCCACAAACGCTTTTGAAAGTACTTCTTCTCTTACTAAACTTCTCCAAAGTGGACCTCAAAAACTAATTTGACACAGTTTGATAGCAGTTGGTTTAAGAATAATCAAGGGCTAGCATGTAAGAGTAATTTTAGCTTTCGCCGGCATATGAAAGTGGACAGAATGTTACATTAGATGTGGATATTGATTGCACTAGCCATTATCTTCTCCGGGTACTTCTCCAAGCTGTACTCGCCAGTGCCTGTAGACATCCCTAACAGAGTGCGCAGTTGTTCACCACTCAAAAATAGCCTCCTGTTCGAGCCCACAAAATCCTCCGACTGCTTGGAGCCTCGCAGTAAGTTCACAAACGACAAAAACGACTTCATGTTCACTTCTTCGCGCTGTGATTTCTGTTCACGGTGCAACTTCACCAACAACTTCCTCAGCGCATCCTGGTTTTCCAGCAGATAGCACTTCACAATCGAGAACACTTGATCATGGCAACACAGCAAGATGAGAGCTTTGATGGCGTGGTGAAAAGTAAACATGCTTTGGCTTTTGTTGCTGGCATGTTTGAAAATCTCCTCGCAAATAACCTTTGCTATGTTGCTGGGCGGTGTATTCGATTCAATTATGTCATCCGGTATGTAAGTGTGCGCGTGATCAAATGGGAGTAGGCTGACGGATGGATCACAGAGTGATTGCATAATGGTTATGACGTAATAGTTGATCTCGTTCTGCACGTGCATGTGTTGCGATGCGTCTTCGTCTGCAGAGTCGACGTCGAGGAACATGAGCATCTGCTCCACACACTGCGATATCTTCATCGCCTCAAACTGATCCTCACTGCACAGCAGCTGGATGAAGGCCGCCTTGCCTGCTGGCTGGGACACCGCGTGGTCCACGAACAGAAGCACCTGTCGCATCTGAAAACAAAACAAAACAAACCTGTCGCATCAATTAGCAACCCACTACAATTCATCAATCTAGCCATCCATACAGCTAAAATACCACGCATTTTACTATCTACGAAAACTGTTGGTTCTCTTCTGTTTTAAAGGATAAATTTGAGCAAGTGGTTCGTTGCAAACATATTTTTAGGCAGTAACCTGATTTTAAAAAATGCACCGACAAACATACTGACTGGGAGACTTTACCATTGGACCTACGGGTCCTTTTTCAGGCGAGTCGTATCCGAGCGGAAACTATATAGAACTTTTTGCACTTCATGAGAGATAATGTTTTGAAGGTATTGACTTCGAAAACATTACTTCAAAGCTGAAAAACATCGCCAACAGAGGGATGGAAAAGTGTAACAGAACAAAGACACCGGGAAAAAAAGATTGACAAAATTTGATAAAGAGGCTAAGACGAGCTTCGCATCACTTGCGATACAACGCAAACAAAAAAGTCGAAAAAATTTTTAAATGTCGAAAAAAACTAGGTAACCAAAATTTTCGTATGTCTACATAAAAATGACAACTAGGTGCCCAGCTTAAGCTGGAGGTATGTGTTTGAAATTGAACAAAGTTGCTAAAATGATGCGGCATGAAAGGCGTGATTTCAAAGACTGGACTTTGCCCAAAAACCTTAGTTGTCTACTAAAATAAGTCCAAAAGGTAGAAAATTTTGAGATAATCAATTTTCCCAAGGAGATGACATTTCTCTCACAAAAAACTAAGGAGCCGCAGCTTCAACAGGAACCATTATCGCAACCGGTTCTTTCAGTGTACCTTTTCATCTCAAATTTGATTCAGAAAATTTTACACAGAGCGAAGCAGAGCTTCGCAACACTTGCGATGCAAAAAAAAAATCTGAAAAACAAAGTTGAAAAAATAAATTGAAAAAAATTCTGAAAAATTACTTGAAAAAAACTCCAAAAAGATAAAACTATAAAAACTTCATGGTTGTATAAAAAAAGTTAATAAACAGCCTAAAAAAGATTTGAAAAGTAACTACCGAGCGGCAAAAAATTTTGGGTCAAAACCTGTTTGAGCCGAAAACAAAACTGTTGTCGTAACAACTTTCATTAAGTTTAAAAATTTTTAACGACCCATCGAATCTGAAACAAAAAATCGCATGCGAATTATTGTACCCTCGAAATTATGCAAAACAAGTTGACCGAACCCATACAACATGAACTGAAGCTGTTTGAAACTTTTAAAAAACCACACTTGGTAAATTTACTAATTACTAGCCTTTCAGATATAGTAACAAAAAAACTGTTTAAATTGGAACAAAACAAATGCTCTAGAAAGTAAGCCAAATCCTATATGAGATTTAAAAAATGGTGTTTGAAAAAAACGGGAAAGGAACCGGCCGGCAGACACTAGGGCGAAAACCACGAACCCTAGAAAAATTGAAACTTTTGAAAAAATAACTTAAACCTGAAACGGGCTTTATCTAATTACTACTCAAATTTTGTTTGTTTTATTTGAGTTTTCAAGAAACTGAGCATGAAAGAAGATCAAGGAGTCCAAGAGTTGAACTGATGAGTCCCGTGCCTAAAGTTATTTACGGGGACAAAAGTCTAGTGCTCGATTGCAATACCATTGCTTATCTCATCGGTAAAGAAAAATCTAAAAATTTCTAAAAACCGTCAAAAGGATTTCCAAAATACACGAATTTTGCTGCCAAAAGCAGCCTATGGCCGCTTTAGCAGAGAAGATTCCCAAAATCGGGTTTCTCGATCGAACACAACCTGAGAATTGGCACGGTTGTTTTAGCGTAAAATCAAAAAGTATGCAAATCTTCGCACTGTTTGAAGGCCAAAACTTTTTCTTAAACAAACTAAGCATACCCAGTTATAAACGCCAGCTTTCAACAACATGTTGTTGCGATTAAACCTATGATATCAGATTTGGCAGGATAGTTAGCGGGAAAAGTCCAAAAAACGGTCAACAAATAAAAAAACTGACATTTCAGAGACTCATAGCTTTTTGTGTGAAAAAAGGGCGGAGCCATTTATGGAGAAGAGAATCACTCAATCTGAAACCTCGATTGAACCCAAAGTCTCAGATTTGGGAGGGTAGTTCTCGAAAAATGTCAAAAAGTTTTGAAAAAAATCAAAACGTTGTCTTTTCCGAGGGCCACAACTTTTTGTGTCAGAAAAACTTGGTAGTAGTCCCATAAGCATACGGCCTTTTTGCAACTCGTTTTTTGAATTGAGCCCAAATCTCCAATATGACAGAATAGTTTCCGAGAAAATTCAAAAAGTTGAAGAAACGGTCAAAATTAAAAATGTGACTATTCCGGGCCATAACTTTATGTGTAAAAAAATAGGAGCGTATCCGCTCATGCAGGGAGCTTTTTGAAATCGCTCGCTCATTGGAACCAAAAACTCGGATTTGAGAGGGGTATTTTTCAAAAAAAAGTGGGTCAAATTTTCCCCGCAGATTTTTTCGAAGGCTGTAGACAGAGGGGCCAAGTAAAAAGAGACTCTAGTGGTGTATTACAAGCACACAGGGGAGTAGGAGGTCTTTCAATTGATACCTTTTTTAGCTATCAAATCAGTAAACATTTATGAGAAAAACTAAAAAATTTCCAATAAATTTTGAAATAATTTTCCGTTACAAAAAAATAAACTTCAACAAACCGATTGGTAAACATACAAACAACATGGAAAAAGCGTAGTGCAGAGTTTGGGGAGTGTTTGCCAATTGGTAAACATACCACCAACCTGAAAAATGCGGAGGGGAGTGTCTTCACTTTGTATGACCCTCAAAACGACCCAAAAATAGGTCTTTAAGCCTATATTAAATAGGCCGAAACATGTTTTGAAGCGAAACAAAAGCACACAAAGAAGGGATTACGAAGTCAAGGTCAGTAAAATTACAAATTGTAGGAATACAGCAAGCACTAAAATCAACATTAAAAAATGCCGGCAGAAAAAAAACAATTTCACGATGTGACAACTTAGCCGACAACATAAGCAGACAAATAATTGGCCGACAATTTTATTGGAAACAAAAAGTTTCTGGTTTAAAAAAATCAGATCCTGGACAGATTTTAACCAAGGACCTCTGCCGTCCCAGGCATAATTGTTACCTCCAGACTTAGTTGGCCGGGAACACATAGAAGTTGGAGTTCAATATGATCCAACATATATATGATTCTGTTAAATAAGTTGTTAACCCGAGAAAAGTCTATAGTCCAGTTTGATAACAATTGCTAGAGCGATTTCCAAATTTCGATATTATGAAAAAAAAACATATCAGGTTAAAGCTCGTTGAAATTCAAGAACAAAACATGATTGACACTTTTTTGATAGAATAGACGCAAATTAGTTTAAAAAAAAATTGACTATCTGCCTTTTTTTCCAGCTGGGAAATCTAAAAAATGGAATCCATTTTCAAAAATAGTATTCGGCCACGTTTTGCGCGCAATTTACGTTTTCGCAACTAGAGAGTGCAATTTGCCGACCTTTTAGCAAATGAAATTGAATTGAACTAAGCGAGTATATATGCTTGAATGCATTCATAAACGCACTACTATGTATGAAAGCACTTCTGTCGTTACGAAATGTAAAATGAGAACTATATAAGTGAAAATTACATTGATCTTTTACAAGAACCAGGCTTCAAAACACACACACATAAAACAAATTTGAGCGTGAACAAGTTCAAAATTTTTTCAAGGAAATAGCACGATCTATAACAGTAACAACCTAGCCAACAGACAGTTGGAAAAGAAAGAGCCAACGAACTCAAGGAAACAGACAAAAACCTGATTACTTTCTGAGATCTGGAAAAAAAATCCATTCTAAAAAAGAAAACGAGGCGAACTTGAAAAATCAAAAGTCCAACCACGAAAAACCAAAACTAAGCGTGAACAAAAGTTAAGACTAATAAACAAAAAAATCACCTATATGAAAGACCTGCAAAACAGTATTCACTACGTATATGACTATTTCAAATATTAAAAAAATACTGAAGTTAGTGGCACTTTAGCCGAAAAAATGTAGAGAGGCAAGTGACAACCCAAAGTACATAGCCAACTGACAGTTGGAAATTAATGAACGCAAGGAAACTGAACAAAAAAACTGACTAGGTTTTTGAAAACTTTCAAATTTTAAATTTCGAAAAAAAACTGATGGCCTTAAAGCTCTTTGAATTTAAAGAACACTTTATGATCAAAACTTTTTTGTTGCAAAAACCCAATTTGAGAAAACTGGATCAATAGGAAAAACTTTTAATTTGCTGGGAAATCTGATAATTAATTTCCATTTTCGAAATTAGAAGTCGATCACGTTTTCGGTGATTTTTACCTTTTTGCTGTTCGATAGTGGAGTTTGTCTTCCTTTTAACAATGGAAATGCACTGAACTTAAAAAGAAGTCAAAAGTCAAACCGCGAAAAATCAAAATTGAGCGTGAACAATTTTCTAGACTTTTTCCTGAAAACAAAAAATCACCAAGACATGTAAAAAAGTACTCACTACGTTCATTACTCTTGAATAGGTCTGTTTGCAATAACTATTAGGCAATTTCAAGGTGATCACGATGTCTCAAAAATCACTGGCGCTGATATTCGCATTGTGAAAAAAAAACCAGGCACAAATATCTTCCGAAAACAAACAACAAACAGTTGGAAAATACGTCAATGATCTAAGCAAATAGCCACCAGACAGTTGGAAAAAAGTCACGAACGCAACAAAAAATAGAAATACTGGCTTAGTTTTTGAAAAAAAAGCTTCAACTTTCAAATATATGGCTTTAAAGCTCTTTCAAATTCAGGAACAATTTTTTATAGACACAATTTTGATGAAAAAAAAAACCAATTTGAGAAAAACTGGATCAAGTTAAAGCGTGAAAAAACTTGAAAAAGAAAACAAATCATCACGTCCTATAAACGCGTCTTCACTACGTGCATTGAACCTTCTTCACTTCATCCTTCAACAATTAAAACCTATTGATCTTTCGGAAATAC